GGATATAAAAACAAATTTGTGTGTTGTTGTTGCTTACTTCAGTGCTTTTGTGTGACAGTTTTGCTCCTGGCGAGGCTTAGTAACCGTTGACAGAKCTTTACTAGTTGCAATATTTCGTTGGCTGTTTTCAAACAACTCGTATGGAATAAATCTTGTGCCAGCAGGAATTGAATCTGAATTGCTCAGATTGAATCTGAATGTGCGTAATTTCAAATTGAATGCATTGGTTTGAAAATAAATTTTACTAAATTGAAACTGAATTTAAAGTTTTGTATCCGAATTGATTTGCTTTGAAACTGTATTTTGGTTTATTAAAAATTCAGTTTGACTACTTTCACGTTCAGTTCCAAAACTCAGATTTTTGTGTCACATCCTGGTCYTWGAGAAAGACAGCCAGAKTAATCAAACACAGATCCACAGATTTACGTTTCACTATGAAGTTTCCCTTCTGTAATGTAACAAAGTTGATGCAATCCACTGTAAAAGTGACAAAAACAGTTATTTTATTGCAGTGATTAATTTTACCTACATGTAGAAAACGTTATATTTACATCCTATCATGGATCAGTCATCAGCAGCATCTGATCAATATGTGATCCATGATGTGATGTAAATGTAACTTTTTCTACATACAGATAAAATTAATCACTGCAACAGAACTACTTTGTTTTCGTCACTTTTACGGTGGATTGCATCAATTCTGTTACATTACAGAAGGGAAACTTCACCAAGTAGAATATAAATCTGTGGATCTGTGTTTGATTACTCTGCCTGGATTTCTCAAGGACCAGGATGTGTGACACAAAAATCTGAGTTTTGGAACTAAAAGTGAATGTAGTCAAATTGATTTTTTAATAAACCAAAATACAGTTTCAAAGCAAGTTAATTCAGATGCAAAACTTTAAATTCAGTTTCAAGTTATTAAATAAAGTTTCAATTTAGTGAAATTTATTTTCAGACCAATGCATTCAGATTCAATCTGAGCAATTCAAATTCAGTTCCTGCTGGGACAAGATTTATCCCATAAACTCGCTCCTCCTTTTTTATATCAGTAAATAACGGCTCAGAGACTAAATGTTCTGACAGTGATGAATGTGGCCCTGAGGTCCAGATAAAATACTGCAGCATTTTAAGAGAGAGAGAAAAAGAAAAAATTCTATGTTAGTARAATTTAGGTGAAAAGAATGTTTTTACCTGTTGCAATGTAATTAAAATAGTTCTTGTGACTTATAAAATTACAAAATCTTGAAGAAAACTTTCTTACATCATTGAAAATGATATTTTATGCAAGAAAAACATTTGCTTTTAGAAATTATTTGCTGAAATAAAAAAATACAAATTTTCCTATAAAAATCAACTACTTCCACTGATACTACAGTTAAGAAACTTTAACTACCAATAACCASATTGCATTAGACATGCTAACAGGTTTACTGTCTGACTAGTTACTGATTTTGAAGTATTTTTATTTTATTTTTTTAATCATTTGCGCCACAGGTTCCATGTCTTCCCATATAAACTACATCAGGACTGATCATTCTGTCTCTTACCTGTCCTCTTGACTCCTGAGGTCGAGGCAGGCGGCCCCCCATCCAGAGTCTGGTTCTGGTTCTGCAGGAGGTTTCCTGTTAACGAGGAGTCATTTCTTTCCACTGTCGCCAACTTGCTGCTCAGGACAAGAGACTGTGACAAAGTGAAGAGTCAACACAATCTGCCGACTTCCTTTCGTCACTTTTAGTATTTTATCACAGTACTGTTGGAAACTGGCGCTCCATAAATAAACGGAATTGAAAACTGAATTACAAAGACAGTTCCATATTTATTGCAAAATATTTTTGTACAGAATACAACTTGAAAAAAAAAACAAAAAAAAAAACAAAAACAAACATAGGAGGGATACACAGTAAGGCAAACATTTGAACTCCRAGAGTCGAACTGTACAAACACCAACAGTAACATTTGCTGCTTTATTTGTATTTTTATACACAAACCATTTACCGTTCTCACAACGAGCTCCTTAACGGAGACGAGAAAAAAAAATTAAAACAATTTCTTCATGTTTTCTGAAACGGTATTGCCTCGCCTGTAAACCCAGCAACTTTAAACACCAACGAACAATCCTTAAATACTGAAACTTTTATAAGAAACATGTCCCTTGATAGTGTCTCACAAAATATAAATATATATATTAAATATAGTTGTAAAAAGCTCCAAATTGRTATTATTATGTGAGTGAGTGGTTCGGAACGCTACCCCCAAAGCTAGAACATGAGCTCACAAACCCGGTGTAGATTTAATACTTCAGAACCTGAATTAAAACAAAAAATGTAACGTTTTTATTTTACATCACACTGAAATAACCGCGTGGGGTTAATAGTGTGTTGGTAACGTGGGACGTGCACGTTCATGCACATCCTCATGCGATTTGGCACTGATGTAAGAGCTCTTTTTATTTTTCTCCAAAGTAAACCACGTAATACATCTTGGTTCTTTTAGCTCTTTCTTCTTTATATATATTTTTTTTATTTTATTTTATTTTTTTACATAAAAAAGGCAGAGTGAGACAGGATATATATTTCCCTCCCTCCCAACATTCAAATGTACATCTTTAACATTGGCGCTCCCAAAACCTGGGATCTGATGAAGACAGAAAAACTTTCCCCGTCTCTGAAAGTTTGATATAGAAAATCAAAATTAAATTATAAGATTAAAACAGATACGATWTTTTTGTTGTTGTTTTTGTTTAGTTTTTGTCGTATGCATAAGCCCTTCGAGAAAACACACCAACACTTATAGAGGATGAAGATGACGTACAATCCAAAACTCCAGAGAAGACGAAGAGAAAAACAAAAGGTTTCTTAAATACTTGACTGGTAAAAGGTAAAGTCGGAACTCAGACGGCGACAGATAACTTCACGTTTCTGCCTGTCCGATTCCACATCTTAMAATACGTCTGGTAAAAAAATAAAAAATAATAAAACAACCGTAACTGAAACATCCTCTTTTAAAGGGAGAATCTGGCGACACGCGAACAAGCAGAGACCAACGTGGTTGTTTGAAAACACAATCAGAAATAAAGCTAATGAGCTCCTCTTTTGAACCCCTGCGGAGGAGGGGATGTGAGTCCTTTTGTCTGAGAGAAGAATGACTCAAATATACACGGATTTCMATAAAACGGTCACCAGAAATGAAGGGAACTCTGAAGGGAAAATATACACAAAAAGTTRAGCCGTTGGTGTAGAATAAATAAAATCTGATACTAATCTCACAGATGGGAACAACGGAACATAATAAACATCAGATACTGAAACTAACAAGAGGCGCATTTGTTACAATAATAATGTTGATTTTCATGGCAGCAACACAGCAGTAAATGTGAGAGAAGTGAGGCGAGCAGCTGTTGTGTGATGTAGGGCTCTAGCTGTTCAGCCGTCCTTACTGTTCTAAGGTGTCTTCATGCCATAACGTTTTAAATTACCTTATTATTTCAAAATAAAATACTATTATTTTTTCGTTTCTTTTACCATTTGACCCAGCTACTGTGTTCCAATTTACGACCGAGTATTAGGGCCTTACAACAACATTTTTTAAATTATTACTGTGAGATTAAAGTCGTAATATTATAAGATTCAAGTTATAATTTTACGAGAATAAAGTCATAATATTACGAGATCAAGGTCGTAGTATTATGAGAAAAAAAGTCATAACCTTACATGACGTGTCCATTTGAATGTGTTTGTGTCCAAATGATGTGATTGTGATGCTGTAATTCTGAGTGTTTTATGTGCTGCAGAACAGGAACCTGCTGTAAAACAGCAATTATGCTGAGTCAGGCTTGATTTTTTATAATCTTTTCCTGTTAAATAAATAAATCAAATCAAAATCAATTTTCCGTTCCTCATTTTCCTGACACATCCTGTGTGCAGCCATGTGTCTGTGTTTATATAGTAGTCCATGATGACTTCACTGTTAGATTAATATGTTTTCATCCAAATTAGCTACGTGACAACTAAATCTGTCAATGCATCCATTAATTATAATACGGCTTCAGTTTATAGTCGTTCGCACAATTTCCAAGTCCTGCTACTCATAATTTGATGCTAATATGCTAAAAGATTATTTGTGACCCATCAAATCGAAACGAGGATTAAGTCCAAAAGTKGTATATGGAGAAATAGGCAAATATAGTGTTTTGACTAAAACGTTAACAAAAATTGCATTTTGTCAAAATATAATAAATAAATGCCTTATTAATGTATCATTTGAATGAACAGTCTGAAATTTAATCTTAAAACAAAATTTTGAAGCACTTTTTTGAGCTGTAGCAACAAAAACACTGATTTAGAGGAAAAACGCCTTAAAATTTTTTTTGAGATTTTCCCTGTGAGTTAGCAAAGCTGTGTTTCTTTTTAGCTGGGAAATCTCAATATTCCAATATAATTTGAGGTTTCCTCTTTATAAGGACATCAAAAATTCCTCAATAAAATGACAAAATTAGGATTCAGACCAAATATTTATGTATTGTAACCAACAAGACAAATTGAGTCATATACATGGATTTAATTATGATATCAGAATGATCCAGGTGTCAAAATGTAGCTTTTAAAGCCAAGAATCTGAAAATGTAATTAGGTCATTTTGACCAAATTTGACTWAATCCTCATTTCGATATGATGGGTCACATTTATTTATAGCAATACTAAAAAACAACTTGACAAGTTGCTCAACATTCCTCATTTTAATGCAGTGATAACTGCATGCTTTTTCATGTAAAGGCTAGAATATTATGACTTTAATCTCGTAATATTACGACTTTATTCTCATAATATTACGACTTTATTTTTGTAGGACTTTAATGTCATAATATTGACTTTATTCTCCTAATTTAAAAAAACCTCCTAGTATGGTCCTAATACTCCGTCGTACCAATTGTAATCAATGTTAGATGATTTTTTCCCTCATTAGCTTTGCAAGATGCATCAAATCTGATTGCTTTTAAATTTTTTGGAGGAAAAAACAGGTTGTTATTGAAGAATCTACTCTGAAAAGTCATTTGAGTTTCTCCATCACGGATAAGTTCATCGTTTTTCCCTCTCAGTGACCCTCTGTCATCGTTCTGTCCTGCTATGACGCGAGTCTGGGAGGTGTATCTTTGAAACATTTATGGATATCTCGAGTGCTTTCAGTGATTCAATACCCTGAGTAGAGGACATAGGCTTGGGGTGAACTTTAGTAGAAAACAAAAACATTTTTTTTTTTTTGCAAAGCAAAATTACTAAACAAAACCACCTTTTATAAATAAAAACCTGAACTCAGCTCATACATACACTGGAAACCACAACAACAAAAAATAAAAATCACAAAAAATAATGACGACAATCATTTTCAGCTGTACAATATGCATATCCTCGTGCATATCCAGGCTCTTTTTCTCCTTGCAGACAGACAAGTGTTTCGGGCTACAAAGCTGTGAGTTGCGCCAACTCTCTGCAGAGACTAAYGTTGAGTATTCAGAGTTTGATACAAATGAGAGAAATGTAATTCACAAGCTGGGGGAGAAAGAGGATGTGATTTGATCTCAGGACAGACTTGTAAACAGAAGAGGCCAGAAAGCCACAGAGGATGATGGGTAACAGACATCCACATGAAGCAGCAAAGATCAGACAGATTACATGAGTTCAGGGAGAAAAAGACAAAGAAATAAAGTGTTACGGGACTTTTACTTTCCGATCTTTCCGATCAGAGGATTTAAAGATGCAGCATCACCTCCTGACAGTCGATTCATCTTGGACTCAGCTGAGAATCAGTTCCGCGACAGGAAATTAAATTAAAAGTGATCGATGTGTTTCTGTCTCTGCAGATCCAAAGGAAAATTAACCGAAATGTAAAAAACGCTGGACTCTCAGCTTTACTATCACACGCCGTTACGTTGCTGAGCGAGCGTTCGATCGCGGTGCAGGACGGCGACTGGCAGATATTGGGGGTGGGGGGGTAATACAATGTGCTACGCCCCCTCACACACACTCTCACCTCTCTGCAGCCCCCTTCCTGTGACCCCTCTGTGTGCCGGTCAGGACCCGGCTCAGACGAACAGTTGGATCCGCTCCCGGATGGTCTGCCGGCAGATGGGGCACGTCTTGAGCGCGGCGCTGCAGTCGATGCAGGAGGCATGTCCGCACTGGAAGACCAGCTTGATGTGGTTGTCGATGCAGATGGGGCAGGTGATGCGCTCCTCCATCTGGCGGTAGCGCGACTGCAGCTGCTCCAGCAGGTTGTGCTGCTCAGAGTTCTCTGTGCCGGGGCTGCAGTCCACTTCTGTTTGGTCTGTGGAGCGAAACCGTCACAAAGAGGCCGTTTTAGGTAAGTGGAGAGGAATTTAGACAAGGTGAAAGTGGTGCTGCTGGTGGAAAGACAACAACTTATTGATTCACTGCCTAAAAACACAGGTGCTTTTAAGGGGGGGGGGGGGTAGTATTTTTAAGGCACATAGTTCATTTCTATACCACAGTCAAGTAACTGTGTTTACCTTCAGCTGTATTTATCAAAACAAATATTTGACTTTTCAACACAGTGCTTTGAGCCTTATCTAAATGCCTTGAAATTGGCTTCTGTCTCTTTAAGAGCCTCCTACTGTTTCTGACACTCCCACTTCAGCACGTCTTCACAACAATGCTTCATGCTGTTTACAAAATTTTGTAGAAGCGTTGTAAGTGGTGGCATCCAAAAACACACTTCCTCGATAAAAAAGGCATTTTTTTAATCCAAAAAGGACTGGACTAAGATCTAGGGAGGAGCTTTGTGTAAATAGGCGGAGCTTTGTACGGCAGCATTTAGGCAGCACCAAATGGCTACCACAGGAGATTTAAGGATTTCTCAAACATGCATGAACGAGTCAAAGCAAAACTCTGGGTGTGTTTCTGACGAGGGAATGGCATTATAACGCTATAAAGCTCAAAAAAGTCGACATAGCATAACACCCCCCCCCCTTTAATTAACAACTAGAAGCTGCTTCCCACAGAACCAGTCTTTGAAATCATGAGATAAAGTTAATGACAAAACTAACGACGTAATGACTAAAGATGTAGCTTTCCTTCAAGGAACGCATTTTGCCTTTTTCCATATTGTTTGATCTGTACACAGCAAGTTTCAGCTCAATTTCTAAAAAAAAAAACTGAGTGAGTTAGAGCCTTTTTTGAGTTTGATAAGAACTCTTTGCTGTGGCTGCCATCTTGAATCGAGTTGACTCAATTAATCAGTTTAACTGCTGGGTTTCACAAAAATGTGTCCATCGGTTCATGAAACACTCTGCTAACAGACAAACAATTACACACACACTCACGTTTGTTCTTCTATTCTCATGGGGACTTTGCATTGACTTCCACTCATTCACTTATTTCTATAGCCTAACCCTCCCTGACCACTTAATCTAACCTCACCTGACCCGAAACCTGACCTAAACTTAATTTACATGTTCACCCTGAACCTAACCCCTGATCCACCAATGGCATATCCCCCATTGGGGAACAGGTTTTTGTCCCCATAAGGAACAGTGATTCCTCACCAGTATGTGTACTGGGAAAATGGTCAAAAATCATCCTCATTGCATAAACATGTACACACACACAGCTGTGTCCACCTATACATATGGAGACATTTCATTGACTTCTATTAATTTCTACAACCCAACCTTGACCCCTTACCCTAAAAATTAACCCGACAGGTACCTACCTGACCCTAAAACTAACCTAAACTCAAGTCACACCTTGGTCCTAAACTTAACTCCCAGCCCACCATTGGCATTTAAACCAAACGGAGACTCCACTTAGGTCCCCATATGTACCAGTGGTCCCCACATGTAGGTGTTTTGCCTTAAATGGTCCTCATATGTCATAAAATACCCATCCACACACACACACGTTTGTTTTTCAACCCCGTGGGGACCATGCATTGACTTCCATTCATTTTTTTAGACTTTATATCCTAACCCTGACCATTTACCCTAAAATTAAGCTCACAGGTTAGACCCTAGAACCCTAAAACTAACCTAAACTCAACTCACACCTTGGTCTTAAACCCAACCCCCAACCAAAATCATCCTCAGAAGTAGTGGGGACAGGGCTTTGGTCCCCACAAGGAGCACTCGGTCCCCATGAGGCTGCATTTTCCTGACAAATCGTCCCCACCAAGTAGCAAAAACAAGGGCAAACACACCGATTTTTATTTCTATCCTTATTAGGACTGTTAATTGACTTCAATTCATTTCCAGTAATTACAGCCTAACCCTGACCTCCAACCCTAAGGCTAGCCTCACAGGTACCTACAGGACCCTAAAACTAAYTTAAACTCAACTCACACCTTGGTCCTAAACCCAACCCCCAACCCAAAAATGAAAAATGGAGTTCCACCATGTTAGGAATGGCCTTTGGTGCCCATTATACTACCGGTCTTGACAAAGTAGGTGTGTATACCAGAAACAGTTCTAAATAGGTAACATAAACAAGTACTCACTCACTCACACACACACACACACACGATAATAACAAGCAAAAGGATTCTTCGTACCTTGTCGTATCTTCTTGGTGATGGTGACCTGACATTTGATGCACTTCTTCATGCGATGGGCACATTCTGTTTAGACAAGAAGAATTTCAGCTGATAGTTGAGCAGCAGAGCCGGCGCTCTGCTTTCAGGAAAGAGGTCGAAACCTGCCGCGGTGCGAGTTATTTGATCTGGCAACAATGGGCTCACCTTCGCAGGCCACGCTGTGCTGGCAGGGGCAGAAGAGAACCAGCAGAGCCAGCTCGGAGCAGATGAGGCATTCGCTGGGCCCTGCCGGCGTGGGGAGGGCCAGGTTGGTCATGGTGTTGGGTGTGGTGTGGACCCGCCGCAGGCTGGCACTGCTGAGGCCCTGTCCACACGTGATGGCCTGCAGACGCTGCAACCTGGCAGATAACGAACCGCTGTAAAAAGGCATCTACATAAACGCCCTTCGATTCTGTTTAATACGGCCTTACAAGGTGCTGCTTTGAGTATCAGTCTGTCTTTAACAAYATTCACCAGCTTCTTGAGGATTGTTTTTGTGAAACACGTACCGGTACTTTTCAGAGAAGCCCTTGATGAGCTGCAGCATGGYGCTGTCCGCCACTAAATCCAGAGGACTCTTGCCCTTGTGGTTGGCGTAGCTGATATCAGCTCCTTCCTGTGCTAGGAAGCAGGCGAGGGCCGTGCCCACGCTCAGCTCGGTGTTCCCCAGAAGACCCGAAGAGTTCAGCTGTGGGCACAAACGATGAGAGGGAAAAGGAGAGAAGAGGTCGTTTGCTAATGCGACAGATAAATACAGAGATGGGCAAAAACACGAGCGCCTTTGGTGGCGAGCATTAAACTCAAGGACGTGAGGAAACTGAGCGTCACAAAGGTAATGAGGTTAAATCAGTGCAGTCCACATAAACCCACATCTAATCACCACGGAAGAACTCCCTCAACAACTCATCTGCTGACAGCAGCCAAAACAGCCCTGAGTCTACCCGCCTGTGTGTGTGTGTGTGTGTGTTGGCTTGGCAGGTGACCAGGATACTGAGTGGAGCTGCAGTGTTTGTGTTCGTGGAAAGGACGTACAGGACGGTTTGTATGAAACGGTTTGTGAGAGGAGAAAAAAAAAGAATCTCGTCTCAGAATGAAAAGTGTTTCGTTTGAGTTGATGACTTTCTGAAAAACATAAAGAAGTGAGATTTTTGTCCTGGGAAATCAACATTCTGGAGCTCGTCGGCTTGGGTAACAATTACAACAGGACCTTCGAGGAGGATTTAAAGTCGCTCTAATCAATATATCGATCGTGTTTTTCAGTGCAAAACCTTTGATGGTGTGTGGAAACTAAACTAAGGGTGGTCTTTTAGTCATAAATCCCCCCCCACACACAGGTATCAAGCTGGCACTGCTGGCAGACTGCTGACATGGCAAGTCGTTTGTCAACTGAATGTGGGCCAGGTCTAACAAAGATAGCGATTTTTTTTAAATGGCATGCCACAACTGGCCCAGATGTGGTTTGGTTTGTTTATTTAAAAGGATCCCCATTAGTCTCCACCACAGTAGAGACTACTCCTTCTGGGGTCCAACAAAACATAAAAGCATATTCTGCAATGTGGGTCAAAATAAAAGTTTCCATTAAAGTGGACATATGGTGCTTTATAATTTTTCTTTTCCACATTTAAACCATTCATTTGGGGTCTATATAAAGTGAAACTGCAATGGTTTGGTCTGAATGCCTCTTTGCTGTAACTCTTCAGGCCCGTTTCACCCATTTTCTGAGGTGCGTCTCAGATCAACTCGTTTTGAGGCTGTCTCTTTAAATCCAAACGAGAAAACTGACCGGGTTGAAAAATGTGGCACAAATAGAATATTTTGATATCAACGCAATGAGGCAACTAAATTCAACACCAAGTAGACCAGGGGTTCTCAAGCCATTTGGGTCTGGGGACCCCTTACAAGGGCAAAAAAATTCCAGGGACCCCCTCATAAACCCCATGCTGTTTTAAAAGATAATTTATTGTCATTTCAACCCCTCAATGCCATAGAAATATATATTTTTATTAAGTTTACTATATTTGTTTTATTAGTTCATTGTTCTCCATTCATTTTTAAAAAATAAAAAACAAATTAGCAATTTAGCAAAATTTTTTAAGGACCCCCAAGAGACCTCTCATGGACCCATGGAGGCCCTGGGACCCCAGTTTGAGAACCTCTGAAGTCAACAACAAAATGCATTTAAAAGCTTAAAAAAGTGGGTTTAGCATTATATTTTAACTTTAATCCTTTTTTATTTTAGTTCATGTTAAGATGTGTTTTTCTTTTAGACTACAGGAAACAAACAAGGAGGACATTTACACAGAAGGAAAAAAAGGAAAAGAAAATCTAAAGCTCAAAACCAGTACTTTTAAAAAGCATAAACTCTCCACAAATAGTTTGATTCACAATTTGTTTGGCTCTTTTCTGAGAACTTAATAAGTTTCAAGTTTCTATGCATTCCCTACAATTTCAAACAATTTTTTATGGAAGAAAAATAAATCAGTGTGCTTAAGACTTCTTAACAAAGACTCTTCTAGGTTCCTCAACATTCACAAYCACTCGTCCATATTTTATATATTGTATGCAATTTTACAGCTCTTTTAAACTCAAACCCATCAGCATATTGGGGACATTAGGTTGCCCCCACCACATATTTCATTGTCTCAATGCCTCAGTGAGCTTCCTGCTAGCTGAGCCATTATGTTTGATACTGCTGCATGACCCATTTTATATTCCTCGGATGAGTAGTCTGTCCAAGACTCCGACATCCTGATTAAGATTTCCTCAGGGAAAAAGAAAAAGGAAAAGCGGTGTGTTGACACAGCTCGTCTAAATTTATCACGTACGTCCCAACTTCAGCTCCAAACACAACTAAATTACCAAGTGGGCCATCTTCACCTCTCTCATTTTATGACATCACGAGGCTCTGGCCAGTACCTTCTTTAGAGAAAATACAACTATTAAATTCACGTAGCAGAAAAACTATTAATTTGCTCTTACATAAAGTCAGACACTATAGTCGTAACCTGCTCTAAGTTTTAATTAGTACCACTTTTCTGCACTCCAACCTCATTACCTTTCCCTCAGTTAATCCCACTTTCCTGTCCTGCTCACACATTGAACTCACGTCCTTTCTCCTCACTTAAAACTCTTTTAAATCTGTGTCACCTGACTCGCCTCTTTCCCCTTCCTTTTACCCCACATCCTGCTGGAAAAGCCAACYACACTAACTCCCTCACCTGGAAATCACAGAAAACTAAACATAGATTTTAATATTCAATCAGTCTTTAATTCTCACCAACAGGTAGTAGTTACAGCTGCACCCCATCCTTAAATCTTTTCTGATTGTAATTGGAGTTGCAGCTTTAGCTTAACAAGCCTGAGCGATATAAAACTTCTGCAGTAATGCATCCTTTAACAACCATTAAAAAATTAATGTAAAAATCTATACCTTCCGCTGGCTCGGTGAAGTATAGGAAAAAAGCAACATAATGCAAAAACTCAAACTCTAAAGCTTTAATAACTTCCATCCCCCTAAAACTAACTATGAGTAATATGGGATAAATCTTGTGCCAGCTGGAATTGAATCTGAATTGCTCAGATTGAATCTGAATGTGCATAATTTCAAATTGAATGCATTGGTTTGAAAATTAATTTCACTGAATTGAAACTGAATTTAAAGTTTTGTATCAGAATTAATTTGCTTTGAAACTGTATTTTGGTTTATTAAAAATTCAGTTTGACTACTTTCACTTTCAATTCCAAAATTCAGATTTTTGTGTCACACATCCTGGTCCTTGAGAAAGCCAGCCAGAGTAATCAAACACAGATCCACAGATTTACAACCTGTCATATGTGATCCATGATGTGATGTAAATGTAACATTTTCCATAGGTAAAATTAATCACTGCAATAAAATAATTCTGTTTTTGTCACTTTTACGGTGGATTGCATCAACTCTTTTACATACAGAAGTGAAACTTCACCAAAGKGAAACRTAAATCTGTGGATCTGTGTTTGATTAYTCTGGCTGGCTTTCTCAAGGACCAGGATGTGGGACACAAAAATCTGAGTTTTGGAACCGAAACTGAATTATGGAACTGAGCGTGAAAGTAGTCAAACTGRATTTTTAATAAAMCAAAATACAGTTTCAAAGCAAATTAATTCAGATCCAAAACTTTWAWTTCAGTTTCAWTTCAGTAAAATTYATTTTCAAACCAAYGCATTYAGTTTGAAATTATGCACATTCAGATTCAATCTGAGGAATTCAGATTCAATTCCTGCTGGCACAAGATTTATTCCATAGCAGTAAGTTCCACCCACCCTTACATCTCCCATCATGCCTCACCCTGCAGTAGAGCGAMGTGGACGAGCACCCCTCGCTGCTCTCCTCCGTGCTGCTGGTTCCGACCGGGGGTTCGAGTACGATGTTGGCCAGCTGAGGACGCAGGAGGGCCACGTGCATGGCCGTGTCACCGTCCTCGTCCTCCATGTTGACGTCGGTGCCTTCGTCCACCAGCAGCTGCACCAGGTCCGTGTGGCCCTGCGTCACGGCCAGCTGCAGCGCCGTCTGGTTCCGGTTGTTGCGGATGTTGATGTCACAGCGTCCCTTTGAGAGGGGTGGAAAACGTCTCTTTGAAACATTTCGTTTATGAGGGTGACTGGATGTTTAATGGGTATAAAAAAAAATCAATTCTGGTTCGCTCTCATTCAGGCTCACCTCCTTGATGAGCACCTCGGCAACATCTCTGTGGTTGTTGAGAGCAGCCAGGTGAAGGGCGGAGAAACCATCCTCCTTTTTAACATCCACCAGCTGACGCGCTCGGGCGAGGATTTTTTCTGTGGCGCTGAAGACGGGACGAACAACAGAGCACTATTAATCAAAGACTTCTTCATGGTTTAGTTTAAAGGAGACGTATTAGCTTTTAAATCTTTCTTTACCACATTTAAATCCTTCATTTGGGATCTATTTAAAGTGGAACTGCAATGTTTTGGTCTGAATTCCTCCTCATTGTAACTCCACAAGCCCTTGTTTCACACCTTTTCTTTTTATTTGTCCGTTCAGTCGGAAATTCTGTGACATAGTAGTTCAGAAAATGTCATAGAAAACTGAACAAAATTTAAAAATATGACCCAAACAGAATATAAATATATCTATGCAGCACCAAGAGAAACTAAATTAAACTGTTCTGCACTTTTAGAGACTCCAAGTGCACAACAAAATGTATTTTAACAATAAAAAAGGGGGGTATTTTGCAGATACGTCCCCTTTAAAAAGCCCTTACTTGTAGGCTCTCTGCAACAGAAAACTGGTAAAGCAACTGTGATRCTGCTCAGTGCTTTGAATCTTATATTTAGCATTCATTTTTCACTATTTTTCACATCATAACGGATATGAAAGCAATAGTTTTGAGTTAGGATGATGCAAAATTATGAAAAATAAAAATAATTCTTTATTTAATGAATGAGAATAAAACTTAATAAATGAAACCTGATTATTTTTATTTTTTATCTTAAGAACCAAGTACATTTTGTGGCTCTATATAAATTATAATTAGTCCAAGAGATGTTAAAAATGGCATTTTCAAATCATGAAGGCTGCAGGTTAATGACTTMCGATGTAAATTTCCATGATTAAAGACAAAGTTTTTGTATGCTCAATGACTGGCCAATATTTAGCATCTAGCAGACTACTTTTATCAACATTTAATTACAAATCAGAGAAAATTGTGGCGTTACACCACCAGTACAGGCTGCACGACACACAAAAAGCAGAAAAACCTTGTCATAACAAGAAGCTGATATCATTGTGTGCCTCAGTATTTGACATAAGCTCAGACAGACACGCGRCTGGATTGCGAGTTATTAATCTGACAGGAAAGGCTGTAACACCAAGGAAACCAAAAACACTGATGCTCAGCTCTTATCTAGTATTTGTCACATTCCTAATCACATGAAGCATAAAGGAGTTTAAATTGTGCATTTTTAAGGCCACAACCAGTGAAGACCATCAGATTGTACTTTATGTCCCTCGCAGTCAGACCCCGGTGTTGCGGCACAAGCCTGGACCGCTCTTTGGCTGAGTCTGCTTTAYGAAATGTGAAATTGAAGCCGACGGCCTTAGCGAGCTGCACAGGATGCTGGCAAATCATCACAGAGGCATCGGCGTGACACGGACCAAACTTTCTGTGGATGTTAGGTTTAATTTACTGCTGCCTCTGTGGGATTTTACCGTGTGGAAACGCCGGTGTCGCAGAGGCTGATAGACGATCCTGGCGTCCAGTATTTCAAAAGAAACTAAGCAAAATTAAACCATTAAAAGTACAAGTTTTCTAGATTAGTTAATTCTTTACTATTCTAGATTACCAGCCATAAATCACATTATTTAAAGTGGACAAGGCATGCTTTTAAATCCTTCYTTTTCACATTTAAATCATTCAGTTGGGGTCTTTATAAAGTGGAACTACAATGCTTTGGTCTGAATTCCTCCTTATTTTAATTTTACCAGCCCCTCTTGCACCATGTGTGCTTCAAAGCAGCTGGACTTCATACTGTGCCTGTAGGATGCTTCAAACCCCGCCCGCCTCCGGCTTCCAGACCGGTCCACTCTGGTTTGAGAGAGGAGGGGTTTTCTAGCTCTAGAAATGTTTTATTTACAATTTAATTGAAAGAGGTCAATAATGGAAGACTTATCCATCCAGCCTTACATGCTGGACCCAAAGCCTGACCCAGAATCAGAGCCTGACCCAGAACCAGAGGAGAATTAAGACAAGGAAATTGTAGTTGTTAAGTCCAGACGTTATATGGACGTTCTGTCACAGATTATTTGACGTAATAATTCAGAAAACATCATAGGAAATAGAGAAAACAGAACAGGCTGAATAATATGACCAAAGCAGAATATAAACATTTCTTTGCAGCACCAGGAAAGACTAAATTTAACTTTCCTGCCTACTAGAGGCTCCAAATACACAACAAAATGTATTTAACAGCTAAAAAAGTGGATTTTTCATATGTCCCCTTTAAAAACAAGCAAAGACTGATTAAATGACAAAGATGTTCAGCCATTTGTGTTTAATTTGTTCTAAATTTAGCAACTCAACAGCACTGATCTCAATCTCTTCCTTCTAATGAGATATTTTACCAACAATACAGACAAATGAGCACATGAACACATTACTGCCCTTCCACCTTCAGCGGTGGTTGTTAGCACTTAGCTAGCAACACAGACAAGGTACTGAAACCGTCTTTACAACCCTGCATCACCAGTTGCTGAATTGCAAAAAACGTCTGCGGTAGCATAAAAAAAGTTCAAATGCAGCTTTATTAATTTCATTGACCTCTTACAGCTCTGAGAGGCTCATTAGCTGTTCACTGCTGAAAGCCTTTTTGTTAAATGAGTTGTCAGATATAACTTGGACTGCCTCTGTGATTTAAAGGCTGCTAAGGGAGACACTGCTGGAGGTCATTCGTACCTGCAATGCAGGTCTGTATGAGTGGGTCTGTATGTGTGCGTCTRAGGTGCTGAGGGGAGGGTCCTGCACAGCTCTTCCATATTTACAACCAGCTTTGGAAAAATCTCTGGCATTTTCAACCAGCTTGTTCTTACATCTGGTACGATTATTAAAACAACTGTTTTCGCTTAAGCATCARCGCGTGCCCATGTGTGCTCAGGCTTAACATGGTGTTTGGAGGAAGTCCTGCACAAACTTGCCTGTAAACACAACAGATAAAAGGGCACACACATACAGTAATAACAGCACATTGGTCATTACTGTATGGCAGTGGTGGGCAGCGCTAATTCAAATTTTAGTTGCGCAATTTCTAAAGCGCTTGTCAATTTATTTAGGTCYGCAAAAGCAMATATGCTCAATAAAACTTAGTGGAAGCCAAATATAAAGCACAAGATTATCTCAATTTACCAGAAAATATTCAGGTATGAGACAAATCAGAACTTTACTGCCATGTAGTGTAAAGATCTTTTTTTTTTCACAGATCGGCACGTGTCGTCGCAATTCGGGGAGGTGATTTGTTGAAACCCTTTTAAATCATGGTGTTAAAACAGAAAATAGYTGTGGATAGCTAGTTCTGCTGCTTTTTGGTCATTTACTCATGTTTATGGCAAGGCTTTGGTAAGAAAACATGCAGATATATTAGTAATTTTAAACTGTTTTAAAACTAACGCAACACATTCTGGGTAGGCTACAGGATAAAGAACAGGAACCTGTTCTTTTCAAAATAAGAGCATGAATTTAAACTGCTCCGTGTTTCTTTATTTATTTAATATTTATTGTCACGGTGTCCCTCGGAGAGGAGGTACAAACTGCACAGCTGAGCGTGGTTCTGCAGATCAGAACCACAGGTGTCACCCAGTGAAGAAGGTCCAATTGCTTCCTGCAAAGAATTGTGAGAACTCTGTACTAAATGAAAACCGTCACCAAGAAGGACAGTAAGTCAGAGTGTAAAGCTCTGTGAACACATTACTGCCTGAGGGGTCACTGTTTTCACACCCTGGAGCTCGACTGTGTTAAGAAGAAACGGCTTACCCCTCTAATGTTCAAGAAAATGATGAGGTTTTAATGAATTATGTGGCTACACAACGTAGTTGGACTAGACGGCTCTCTTCCTTTACTTTCGACGAAACTGACGATTGAATGTGAAACGTTTTTTGCGATTAGCGCTACTCATTTCTAAATTTAGAAAGCGCAAATCCGAACATCATTTAAAGACAGTAGTAAAAAATAGAACTCGCTAAAACAGATTTCAAAGAGAACAATGTTTTGGAGGAAACTGAAGAGATCTTAGTTTATTTGATTAAATACGGATTTATTGGGTGAACTGACCCAGATCAATCGAGGGGTCAGCACCTTCTGTCATCTCTCTGTTCAAACATTAGGTGTTTGTTACATTCACTTCTACTTACAGTTTGTTTCCTTTGAGTGCAGCATGGTGCAGCAGGTTAAAGCCTCTGTGGTTCTGCTGAGTGAAGTCGATATTGGGCACGACGACGAGGATCTCAATGATATTCCGGAAATCTTTTGCAATGGCATCATGGAGCGGCGTGTCCCCGTATGAATCCTAAGAGTGGAAGACAGAAAATTAATGGTTGGATGGATTAAAGCTACACTGGCTTAAAAACAAAGCTTTCTGAAGGTTTTGTGTGTTATTATTCAGGCACAGTGCAAAACATGAACAGAAAATAATAAGGGTTTAAAAGTCAGCCTCGTTAATCACTGATGAGAAAATATCCCGTAAACATGTTGCCCTGGTAATTTGGGGCATGTCTGGTTAAAGTGAGTTTTTTTATTCTCAGTCAACACTGAAATATGACACAGGGAATGAACCATATGCACGTCTGCCAAACAAAAAACCCAAAACAAACTCCGGGCTGACGTGTTTTTAGCTGAGTGGCCACACTGTTCAAGCAGAAATAAACAAGTTAGTAAAATCTGGGCCCGCCTTCAGGCATGTTAGCCCAACTGAAAAAAATCCCACTTAAACAGATTCCACATTGTCTTAATGAGGCTGCGAGCTGAAGTAATGACGAGTCACAAACAGCATAAATGACTGCGTCCACGACTGCTGTTGACTGTGTGCACTGCTTCTAACATCACAAGTAAAAAAAACTCACTTTTGTTCTTGGAGAATCACTGTGCAGACCACCTCCTTTATTTAAAAACAAGCATTTAAGTTTTCTCTTTGCCTACAGGCTCAACATTACTGCTTTTCATGTTCATAGAAGTAAAATTTACTTCATGCTAAGTTAAGCTGCTTTAATTTCCTTCAGGAAGTAACTGAAGTATATGAATACATTTAGTTAATCAATTCCACATTGTTTTAAAGGGCCTGTGACATGAAATTTTTGTAATAAACATGAATGCATTTTTGAAAACACAGCATTGATAACATGTTGCAAAACAAATTTCACGCCCCTGAGATGAACAGTTGCTGAGATATTTGCAYGTGAAGTAACAGGAAGTGATGTCAAAGGGGAATGTTTGCATGTAARCAGAGCATTGTTACAACAGTTAAAAACAGACTGTASAAAAGAATCTGATATTTCTTTAGACTATTTTGAGTCACTGTCAAACACAGATGATGAAGAGTTAAAGTTTAAATGATACTGTTTTAATAAACAAAGACTAGAGAGTTTATTTTATTAATGAATTCCCCTTTGATGTCACTTCCTGTTTCACTTTGTCTGAGCCAAATCCAAAAGAAAATAGGCCAGTTGTGTGACAAAATGTGTAAAATCATGCCAGGAGATGTTTTCTCTGAGTTTTTGTATTTGAAGGATATGTCATAGGTACTGTACTTCAATGTTTGCAAATAAAAATGGACAAAAAGGTATTCCATCAAATCAAACATATTAAAGAGCAAAAGAGGAAAACATTCAAAATCCTACTCTGGAGTTTGTACAACCATGTTAGTCAATAAGGAGGTTGAGGGTTATGTAAGCCGTTCTGCACCTCCTCACCTGGAGATTGACGTCAGCTGAGTGTTCGGTCAGCACTCGCACCACGTCAGTGAAGCCCTTGTTGACAGCAATGTGGAGCGCCGTGCACATGGAGTTGTTCAGGAGGTTGACATTTGCCCCCTTGCTCAACAGCAGCCGAGCAATCTCAGCCTGATTACTAAAAAATAAAAATAAAAATACAAATGCATATGACTGTCGTTTTGTTTTGATGRACAGAAGCATAAAAAATGGTTTTATCAGCTGCTGACTTAAACAAAAAGTACATTTGGAAATACGTTACTATTCACCTTATTGGAAAATAAATGAGCGCTACAAACAGTGCGTTCTTAAAAGCACTTTTTCTTTCTTTACATATGCTGAGAGCGCACGTCCTCACCCAAAGGCCGTGTAGTGCAGAGCCGTGTCTCCGTCCTCATCTTTGACCTCCACGGAGCCGTTGGCCTGCAGCAGAGCCTTCACCACCTCCATGTGGCCTTGGTGAGCAGCCACCTGCAGCGCAGTCTTCCCTTGGTTCTTGACGTCCACCTGCCAGGGACACAGACATCGTTGAAGATTCATGAGCGGTTACGAACGCCGGCAGAGTCCGCCGCAGWCTGGCTGGAAGTAATCTCCGCGCGTAGAGAAATAATCCCACCAAAATAGAAATAATCCCGACGGCTTGTGCCGTCAGTGCAGAGCGGAAACGCAAGACCATAACAAATAATCATACTCTCGTTTGACTCTGGCTTTTCTTACTGAAAATAAGTATCTACCCTAATAAATGTTAGAAATATATGCTGAGACTTTGGAACAAGCTGATGCAGAAAATCCAATTTATAAAAAAACACTGGAAGCACAAGTTGTGATGATTACTGGATTGTTACTTGCATGTTGGATAAAAACTGTTTAAGAAAACAAACATTAAACAATGTCAGGAAGTATTTCAAAGTAAAAGATTTTCTGTTACGTCTACTTCACTAACTTTTACAATCGACACAAAAGACAGAAGATGTTTTTTCTGTTTTACAGCGGTCCTGTCTTTATTTGACACCTCTCGAGGGTGGAGGTGTCAGCATTCTAACCACAGGAGCCCTGAAGCCTCATAAATGTGAAACCAATACATTTGATCACAATAATCGAATAAGACTCGATGCAACAGAACTGTAAACCATGTTTCGAACATCTGGCCTAAATGGGTTTTTATTCCAACGTTCTTGTTTTGGTTTCAGCAAAAATGTCTTAAAAATGTTAAATATCTTTATTTTTAATGCAAAAAATCTAAATGTATCTGAATTTTGGCCAGTAATGAATTTAAAAAAGACCAAAAGTTGAGAAAAGATAACAAGTTTGAAGAATGTGTGTTGTGCTATTCCCTAAACTAGATCTTATCTTAGGTTTTAGATTTAATCTGACCCTTTGCACATTTTTTACGACTAATCAAAAGAATGCTGTTCTCCATGACCGAACCTCCTGAAGTTCTTTTTAGCTCCTAACCGGAGTTCTCCCAGCATGAGGAGACCCTTCAGTGATGGTGACGTGCACATGTGATTTAGTGTACATTAGTTTCAACTCGCACCAGAGCCTACCCTTACAAGACGCATTTTAAATAAATAAACAAAAACCCTTAATATTAACATAATCTTATGT